GATATACGGGGGAGAAGCCGAGTATGATCAGAGGTGTAACTTGGTATATCCTGTCCCCCATGGAAATGTCAGTCTCCACAGATGTGGTGTAAGACTAAGGGCAGTACCTTTTCTCAGGTGTACGTGGGAAAAGTGGAGTGTGATCACAAATGTAACTCAGCACTGGTTCTTAAACACTTAATTAAAAACCCTTCTAGTAATATTCTTTTGTGTGTGTTTATGTGTTATAGAATCATAGAATTTGAGGGCTTGGTATGGACCTTAGAGACCATCTAGTCCCAGTCTCCCTGCCATGGGCAGGGACACCTCCCCTCTAGACCAGGTTGCTCAAGGCTTCATCCAACCTGGCTTTGAACACTGCCAGGGTTGTGGAAGGTTCATGTGTGAAGGTTCAAAATATTTTGGCAACAAATCGATGGGAAAACAGGTGAAACTTTTAGCAACTGAAACTGTCCCTGTGTTATTTAATTGTACCTAGTTAAAAGAGAAAGGTGAATATAACTTTTTTCTTGGTTGTTATTTTGAATTTTCATAGGTTCTTGTTGTTAAGATTAATTTTGCTACAGGTTTAGTTTTGTAGAATGGTTTGAGTTGGAAAAGGCCTTAAAGGTCATCTAGTTCCAACCACCCTACCCTGGGCAGGGATGACACCCGCTAGACCATGCTGCTCAGAGCCCTATCCAGCCTGTCATTGAGCACTGCCAGGGATGGGACATCCACAGCTTCTCTGGGCAACCTGTTCTGGTGCCTCACCACCCTTACAGCAAAGAATTTCTTTCTAACATCTTATCTAAATATCTCATCTTTTAATTCAGAGCCATTCCCTCCTATCCCTATCTGTCTGTATAAAAATTTGCTGTTTTATAAGCCCTGCTTTAAGTATTGAAAGACCACTATGAGGTCTCCCTGGAGCCTTCTCTAGTGTTATTACTGTATTACTCTCCAGTGTTGCTTTATTACTGTTACAGTATGTAAGAGTAATAAAGTCTGTGTTAATACTTTTGCTTCATAAGGTCTTGGCCAACTGGAGCAGGCAGGTGGCTTAGGCAGATGCTTATTAATGAAGTGTTAAAACCCAAGGAAGTACCTTTCTGGATCAGAGCAGCTGACCATCCATCCATCCATCCATCCATACTTTATTGGTTGTGGCACCATAACAGATGTGGTATGTGGGAAGCACAGAAGCCTGACCATGCCCTTCTCTGTTCCCTCAGCCTTTGGATTAGGGATGGTATAGGGTAGATCTTTGCCTATTCCCTTTCAGCATCTGCTTTATGGGCATGTTGTCTCTGACTTACCCCATAGATTTACATACCTAAAAGGTATTTGCTTTTGTATTCTTAGATAGAATAGAGGTCTTCAGTGGCTTTCTTGAGCTATATTTTTGCTTAATTTAATTTTCCTAATGGGCATAATTCCTCAGTCATATTTTTGCCCTGCAGGAAATACCTCTCATTAATATGGGATTAATGTCCTGTGTTCGTAGCAGTGGGTTTTGAAGGATCAGATTATGTTTCATTTCATTTTAATGTGTATTCCTTCAACATAAACTGTAATGAAATTGTAGCTGAGTACCTGTTCTGGTGTTTTTGATAAAATAGTGTGAACAAAATGGTTTGGGGACAGAACTAAGAATGATTTGACAAACAAAGTATTATTCAGGACAAAAGTAAGGTTGCTAAAAATTGCATGTTAGATGTCCCTCACACAACATCCTGAAAATGAACTTGCCAGTGATATGACAGCATTTGGGGAACCTTTGTGAAAAAGTTGTTGGGGTTTTTTTGGGTATTTGCAGTGATGTCTTGAATCCAAGCCATCAAGCTGAATTCCATCTTCGTTCCAGTACAGGCTTATTTGAGTTATGTTTTTTCTGGTTTTATGTAAAATTTATTATTTGCTTCCCAGTCTTACCTCAATTTCATAGAGTCATAGAAGTTTTGGGGTTAGAATGGACCTTAGAGATCATCTAGTCCCAAGCCCCCTGCCATGGGCTGGGACACCTCCTACTAGACCAGGTAGTTCAAGGCCTGATCCAGTCTGGCTTTGAACACTGCCAGGGTTGTGGCACCCGCTGCCTCCCTGGGCAACCTGTTCTGTTTGTTAACTAACATTAAGGAGCTGATGCTTAATATCTACTTTTGTATATACCCTTGTGATTTTGAATCTAATACAGGCTTAATGTAGCTGGTGAAACACTGAACGAAATGACAGCAGAGTACAAGTTCCAAGTCACAGCAGCATTTAAGCATCCTGTGGCTTTCTTCATAAAGCAGAAAGGAAGTTGAATTTTAGTTGGGGTTTCTCATGCTGATGTTTCTGATTTTCCAGAGATGCACATTTCACATTCATTTTTGTCTTATTTCTGTTCCCTATGTGATTCAAGAGCTGCAGACATCTAAGCAGAGTTCTGTTTCCCACAGCTGGCCTTGGCAGAGTTATACGAAGATGAAGCTAAAAGGCAGTCGTTGTGTTCTGACAAACCAGCTGCTGCAAAGACTGGTAGCACAAAAGCATCACAGAGGTAAGATGTGCTGTGTGCTTCAGAAATGTGTGGATGGGTACTGTATTAACTGACAAAACTTTGTCATGCTTGCTTGATCCCCTCCTTGTATGAAAAGTGATCTACAGCAGTTCAGAATTGTGAATCCCTGCAGTAATGCTTCGTGTGTCTTCTCAGGCTGCTTTTTGAATTGTCTTTATTTAGGAGCCTTTGTGCTATATGTTATTCCAGGTATTCCAGAGTACTTTAAATCCACTTCAGATAAGATTAAGATGCTATAAGTGAAATGCAGTGTTGCTCTTGTTTATGCAGATGGAATTTGGAAATTTGCTGTATCAGAAAAATACTGCAGTTCTTTGCATCTTCAAAATTCAGCAAATCAGTAGTTTGTGTGAAACTTGGCAAGTGAGAGCTGCTTTCAGTGTTGTATATATGTCAGCACCTGGTGAGACAAATAGTAATTTGGAAAACTATTAGTAGGTTCACTAGTAGGCTCCTGTGGGCTGACAGAAATAAGAAAGGCTTCTTAATGAATTTGTCTGGGTTGGGCAGGTGAAAGGAAAGACGTGTGTCTGTAAATCCAGTGTTTGCAGTTCACAAAGCATTTGAAGGTTAAGGAAATCTTGCCAGTTTTTAATTAATCTTTCTTTTATTAAATTGTTTGAAGAAAAGTCTTTATATCATTATTGTCAGTGATGCCATAACAAGGCTTGTATTTGGCTAGTCTTTCAATTGCTGCTGCCAATGTGGATCTCTGTGTTAAAGGAGGTTAGAGGAAGAGTTCCACCAGTCAGTGCTTCCAGTGCATCTGCAAATGCAGATCTCTTCAGGCAGTATGTGACACTTGGAAAATAGTAGCTTTTTTGGTGAGTTTCTTTTAGTGAAACCACCTAAACTGACTAATCAGCTACATAGAACAAAATTTACAAACAAATAAAGCCAACAGCTCCGTTTACCAGTACTTATCATGAAGTTACAACTTCCCACTCCCAACTGATTCCAGTGCATCTGCAAATGCAGATCTCTTCAGGCAGTATGTGACACTTGGAAAATAGTAGCTTTTTTGGTGAGTTTCTTTTAGTGAAACCACCTAAACTGACTAATCAGCTACATAGAACAAAATTTACAAACAAATAAAGCCAACAGCTCCGTTTACCAGTACTTATCATGAAGTTACAACTTCCCACTCCCAACTGAAGGAAAAGCTGCACTACCATGTCTCAAATATTTCAGTGTGATATATCATTGGCAAACACTTGCTCTTTGTTGACAGTCGTACAGAAATCTGTCTGAGAAGGAAGTGATGGCTGCTATTTGCATGGTATCTAAAAAGAGATTTTTCTTTTAGCAGACTTCAGTTTGCTCTCAGATGAGCAGTGTTTTAATTCTAAGGAAACATAGTGCTGCTCTTGAAGTCATCTCCTCAGCTTGCCTTCCACAACTGCAGGTGTAGAGGAATGCCTCAGGACCCTGCTCTCATGTCCTGTGAGCTTCTTTCGGAATCTTAAATCTATTGGCACAGAAATTCAAGCCCCACAAAACCTACAATGTGACAAAGAAAGAAAATTGATTAAAAGTGTTTCTAGTGCACATGACCTAAGTCCATAGCTAAATTTTTTTTCTGAGAAGGTAATGAGAAGCAGATTCTTCACTGAGATGTAGAATTACTTATCAACACTGATACTTAAAAAAGAGATGTCCTAGTCTCCTATACTTTAATTTCTAAGGTATTGTAATCAGACAAATTGCATAAAACTGAACCAGTGGTCTGGCATTATTCATGTAGCAGATTATATGTGTTCTTATCCCATGGTATTTGGCTACCTCATATACTTCTTACATTAACAAGTCTTATCATCAAGGATGAGAGCATATACCTGTACAGCTTTTCCTGGAATTTTGCAAGCTAACAACCCTGGCTTGTGGATCAGTCCCTGTCATAAACCAGAATGTGACTCTACATTTTTATCATCTTTTGAAAGTCTTTGTGATGTTGTAATTCAAGGTGTTTTTAAAATTGTGTAAGATAGAAGTGAGTCCAGGGCATAAAGGAAAGCCAGTGTTGACTTCACTAGCCAACTTACCTCTTGAAAAACAGCTAAAATGTAAAAGTAATTTGAAGTGTGATTAACTCTGGTAAGCTGTTCTAAAGCAGCTGTTGAGCTTGCATATATCATGTGTTATCACTGGGACCACCAAAGGTAAGACCAAAAACACCCCCCTAGTTTTATAACCTTGGTTCTTGGAAAAAAACCCCACCTAGTTTCAGAAGTTAAATATGAAGTACTTAGTGAAGTGTATGTACCAGTCATCTTCAAATATTTTCTTTTGTTCTCTTGGCAGTCTTAAATTGGATTCTCTTAGAAGGCTGAGAAAACCAGAGAGAAGCATGAGCGATGACAAAGAAAACCAAAGGTATTTTTAAAACAACAAAAAAAAAATCATTTAACAGTTGTGAAAGTAATTTGGGCTTTTGTCACATTCATACTTTACTCTCTCCTGTTTTGTTAAAATACATGTCAGCTAGGTCTGTCCTGCAAAGAGCTACTGGGTGCTGTGTGACTTATTAGAGTAAGTGTTAGCTGGACACTGCTGTAGTAAAACTCTATGTAGCAGAGTCTGGCTGTAGTGATGTTTGCCCTGTAGGTGCTTTAACATGTGACTGTAAGGTTGTGAAGGTTGTAACTTAAACTTGTTCTCAAAATGTTTTATGCCTTTTCTTGAATATCCTGAATTGTTCTGTGTATCCATTGCCCAAATATTTGAGTTCTTTTCTTTCTTGAATACAAATTCTGATAAGAATTCTTGTTTCATCTCCTTACCACTATCACTCTTTTTAAAATCTAAAAATTGAGGATTTTCCATATAAATGCCAGTTGGGATAATAAGTACAGATTTATGTACAAAGGAGAGATGATAAGAGATTGGCAGTTATGTGACGTTGTAAAAGCAGTGTGATTGTACAACACCTTCATACCCACTGCTGGAGTTTGGTAGTTGTAAAATACACTGGAATCAACATACTTTGAAGTCATTGGCCTGAGAGGCAGTTTCACATGGATTAATTTATTTGCCTTGCACCAAGAGGTTAAGTGTAAAAGTTAAGGAAAGCAGAAAGCATTTATTAGTTATTAATGCTTTCTGTAATCAAAGACAAAACACCAAGGTTTGCCAGATTTTATGTTTATATACAGATATTTTTACAGCATCCATTCCATCGGTATTTAGGGATTATAGTGCCTTTCTCAGGATAATCCTCAAGGAATAGCTTGATCTTCCTAAGCAAACAGATAGTTTTGAACAGAATTATTTGTAGTTTGACATTTCATCCTCAAAAGCTAGTAATGGGGCCGTACTGAAGGAAAAAACCTACAAATTAGCTTTCACAGCAGTTTCTGCCGATTTTAAAATGCCTTGAAAGGTTAACTGCATTTACTAAAACCTTTCCATTCTGATATTTGTTGGGAATGGAAGTGTACTACATCTTTAAATTAAAAGGTCAAATTGTGGCACTCTTCAGGTTTGCCAACAACAGTTTTATGCTTGTTCTGCCAAGGCAGTGTTGGTTGTGAATCTATATTCTATCCAGTCTGGGCACAGTCCCACGCACCCCTGACCAAACTGGTCTCTTTGGGAACAGGTGACAGTCACATAAGATGCACAGCTGCATCAGGGCTGTGTTCACCTAAAACATACAGCCTTGCCCCCTAACCTCTGGGATCTGTTCCTGAAGGCACCTAGGTAGTTTTACTAGTAAAATGTGTTTGGTGTAGTGCTGCTTGGATCAATGGGAAGATCAGAATCAAGTGGAACATTTCTATCATCAGAGTGAAAAGGTTTTGTGCTAAATTTGTCCCTTTGTTCATTACATTTTTTTTCTTCTGATGGAAAGAGGAAAATTATGCTTGTCATTTAAAGCATTGTTGCTCATTACTGTTCTGAAGATTTTATTCAGGTGACTCAGAATATAGAGGATTACACATTTCTGGGGCTTCTAATAATCCGAGTAAAATTGTTGCTGAACTCTTCAAGGAAGCAAAAGAACATGGGGCTGTCCCGTTAGATGAAGCCGCAAGAGCAGCTGGTGATTTCAGTAAAGCTAAGGTAAAAGTTAAATGATGTTTTGATCTATATTTACATTTGGGTCTCTGAAGCTCATCAGACCACATGTGGCAAGTGTTGCACTTTGTTGTTTGAGAACAACGGAGGATTTGCTCAACACAGTTGTGTATTGTCTGTGCTGGAATAGCTGTCTCTAGAAAATAAACATGAAGAACCAGACACTTGCAGAGGAAGTCATTAGAAATTAATGTAAACTGGAATTATTTGCTTTATTTTTAATTACAATTGATTAGAAAAACCTCAAACAAATCAAAAAATAACTAATTTCATCCCAAATCAGAATCTCTTACGTGTTGAGTTCCTCCTAGAGGGTAGGGGTCAACAGTACAGTATCCAGCTGGAGATTGGTGACAAGGTGTAGTGCTGCTTGTACTGGAACCAGTGCTGTTTAACGTCTTCAACAGCAACATAGAGAGTGGGATCACGTGCACCCTCAGCAATTTTGCAGACCACACCGAGTTGAGTGTTGCGGTTGACACACCTGAAGGACAGCATGGCATCCAGAGTGATCTGGACAAGCTTGAGAAGTGGATCTTTGTGAACCTCATGAGGTTCAACAAGTCTGGATGCAGGGTCCTGTACCTGCATCAGGGCAATTCGCAGTGTCAGTACAAGCTGGGGTATGAATGGATTGAGAGCAGCTCTGCGGGGAAGGACTTGGGGGTGCTGATGGATGAGAAGCTGGGCATGACCTGGCAATGTGCGCACACAGCCTAGAAAGCCAAACATATCCTGAGCTGCATCAAAAGAAGCATGGCTAGCAGGGTGAAGAAGGTGATTCTGCTGCTCTACTTCGCTCTGGTGAGACCTCACCTAGAGTGCTGTATCCAGTTGTGGAGTTCTCAATGCAAGGACATGGACCTGTTAGAGTGAATCCAGAGGAAGGCCACAAAAATAATCAGAGAGATGAAACACCTCTCCTATGAGGAAAGGTGGATAGACTTGAGATTGTTCAGCCTGGACAAGAGAAGGTTCCAAGGAGACCTTATAGCAGCCTTTCAGTACTTAAAGGCAGCCTATAACAATGTGGGGACATACTTAGGGACATGCTAAGAATAGCAGGGCCTGTTTTGACAGAACAAGGGGTGATGGTTTCAAACTAAAAGAGGGTGCATTCAGCCTAGATACAAGGAAGAATATTTTTTTTTCGGTGAGTAATAAAACACTGAAACAGATTGCCCATCGGTGAGTGTAATAAAACACTGAAACAGATTGCCCAGAGAGGTAGTGAATGCCCCATCCCTGGAAGCATTCAAGGTCAGGATGGACCAGGGCCCTGAGCAACATGATCTAGTTGAGGATGTCTCTGCACATTGCAAGGGAGCAGTTGGACTAGGTGACCTTTAAAAGTCTCTTCCAACCCAAACTTTTCTATGATTCTTACGTTTGAAAAACTGTACAGAATAGAAACCAAAATGCGTCACACAAAGCTTACTTAGCCCAGTTATGGTTGCTAGGTATAATTTTCCACTTGGAAAATACATGTTAGAACAGTGTATTTGCTTTTTATCACAGAAGCAAGCTTGTGGATGCTTTTTTTTTTTGCTTTGCACCTAGGTAAGAATTTTAATAAACTGTTTCAGATTATTTCAATAAGCTTTTCTATGTTGGGTTTTTTTTTCAGTCATTTTCTGGTGGTGGATATAGATTGGGTGACTCATCACAAAAGCATTCTGAATACATATATGGAGAAAATCAAGATGTAAGTAAAATCCTGAATAGTAGGAATCAGAGCCTCCAACAGATGCCTGCTTAATCATGTTTACAGCTTGAGATGCCAGTGTTACTGTAACTATGTTTATGGGGAAAAAGGTAATATCTAAATACTAGATACATGTTAAGTAGGAATTGTTAGTATCCAAAAAGAACAGATGTTCATTGAATACCCCTAAAGCCTTCATTAGGGAATTTTCAGTTGTAAATTACTTAGAAATTCTTAGCAGACCTTCCTTTCAGTTGCTTTCCTCCAGGTGTTGTTTTGCATTCCCTTAGCTATGTGAACATTTTAATCCTTCTCAGAACTGATTCTTTTAATGGCTTGCAAACCAGCCAATCTCAAACTGGAGGGCATGGGCTGATTCTTTTAATGGCTTGCAACCCAGCCAATCTCAAACTGGAGGGCATGGATGCGTTCTAGGAAAGGTGAAGCAGCATGTTAGAGGCCTTTTGAAAATTGTCTGGCCTTTCCTTCCTGTCACTTGAAAAGCAGGATGTGAGGGAGAAGCTGGCAAACAACAATATTCTCTGCGCTTTGCCTTTTTTTTTTTTAATGGCTGCAGCCAATGTTAAGCTTGTCCATAAAACAAAAACAAGGAATGAGGAAGGCCAGAGGAAGTGGTTCGTGTCATGTCACACCAGGAGCTGCTACCTTCTACCCTCTTAAGTCATCCTTCTACTCTCCAGCTAATAGCCAGCTGTACTCAGCCAGAAACCTGTTGCACTGGGCTTACCATAACTGGGAGCAGGAATAGTTTTCCTAGGGAAGGCCAGTTTTACCAGCTGGGGAAGCCTAGTTATGCTGGCAAGTTGCATGGAAGAGAGGTGCAGGCTCTGAAGCTGAAAGGCTCTGGCTGGACCTTTCATGTAGCAGAGTAAGAAGGGAATAAAGATTTCCAGGATTCTCAGCATTTGAACTGAATGGAGCTGGCATCAACTTCATTGGGGCTCAGCATGTAATTTGAGGAAAGAGGAGTTTTCACTGTATCTGATGAATCAGGAGTAATTTATATTTCTATGGGTTTATTTCCTAATATATCAACAAAAATGTTTACTCCTTTTGCATATAATTGGAACACTGTGAAGATCACTAGGCAGTTGCTGTGGATAGCTGAATAAGAGATTCTTTTTCCCCAGGTGTAAAAGTTGTCTGGAAGTAGATAGTAGTCTGTAACTGTTATTTGCTTTTTTTTTAAAAAAAAAAAAAAAAATCTAACAGTGACAGTTACAGTGCTGTGCTCTGTTCTTACTTTGTCCTTTGCATTCTTGTCTGTGGTGTGGTACAAAATCTGTTAAGTATAGATCAAAACTTGTATAATTCATCTGTATGAAATTGTACTGCCTTGTTTGTCTGTCTTCACTTCTTTTTTTATTTCACTGGTTTTGTGCCATAGGTTCAAATTTTGCTGAAACTGTGGAGGAATGGCTTCAGCTTAGATGATGGCGAGTTGAGATCCTATTCAGACCCAACAAATGCTCAGTTTCTTGAGTCTGTTAAAAGAGGGTAAGTTAAAATGTCAACTTTTTTGAGGTATGCCTTTCAAGTGAAGTGAAGAAAAATGCTCTCTGCACATGTTTATAATTTTTAAAAGCTCTAGGCTTCTTCCCTGCCTGCGCCCATGAAATATATTCTGTATTTGTCATCAGATGCATGGAGCATTTACAAATTTGGAATACTTTGGTTCCTCTGGTAGTTTTAACTCTGAATGTTACTTGTTACAGCAGCTTTTAGATTCACCTGTTTTGTTAGCTTGTGCTAGGCTTGGACTGTCTGTGTGTTCTTGGGTTTGACTGTCAGCTCACTGACTATATTGTTTTTTCTTTATGCTGAAATCAATCCATAAAATAATTGAATGTCTAAGACTTTTAAAGTAAACATACTAATATATCAACTCGTACTGTGTGTGCACTTTGCGTGTAATTTCATTTTACAGTTCAGAATGTAATTGGGAAAATATTTTGTTGTACTTAAGGGAAATTCCTGTGGAACTGCAGCGACTTGTTCACGGTGGCCAGGTGAATTTGGATATGGAAGATCACCAAGAACAGGAATATGTGAAGCCCAGACTGCGATTCAAAGCTTTCAGTGGCGAAGGGCAGAAACTTGGAAGGTAACACAAACTAGGTTTTCTGTTCTGTGCTCTGTGTTCATTTGCTGTTTCATTCCTGTGACTGAAAATTTAAGACTACTTTGTCCAAAGATGCATAACCTCAGCTCACTTTAAATTGGTCAGTAAGAGTAAACAGGAGTGTGACATCAACTCTGCTGATCATCAGCTTTTTCACATAAAAATTACAGGCTTTAAAGCATCTTTTATAGCTGACTCGATATTAGCTGTTGAATTGTAAATAATTCTAGGTTTCTGTTTGTGATTGCTTTTATTCATGTAATATATTTGATTGCCAAAAAAAGGTATTTTTGGTGTGCTTCTGCAAGTAATTAATTCAATAAGTGATTCTTTACTGTTTCTTATCTACATTCCATCTTTTTCTGGTGTGCTTCTGCAAGTAATTAATTAAATAAGTGATTCTTTGCTGTTTCTTATCTACATTCCATCTTTTTAGATGAAATGTGCTCAGTAAAGCTGAGAAAGGGGTAAGCTCTGGTAGAGGTGAAATAGGGAACAATTGTATATGATAACGTCATTTTAGCATGCATCCAGATTATTCAAGAAAATAGGTGGGGAAGAGAGGAGGTTCTGTGTATGAGAATATGTGCACACCTGTTGTGTGGCATTTTTGTTTGTACTGCTAGCTGCTGACGTCTCAGGTATACAAGCAATGAAAGGAGCAGCCAAATGGTTATCTGCAGTCAGAGTTATATTCTTCCTATAGAAGTGTTAAAAATTTCACACTTACTCTGTGGTAATTATCAATTACCTGTTAATGTCACTTGTACTCTAAAAGGGTGGGGGATGGCCAGAATCACAAAGTAATGCTCCTGAAGGCAACTGGTCAGCCCAGTGCGTTATCATGATGCACAGTTAATTTTTAATATAGTTTAGGAGGTATGATATGTGAATCTTAGTATCAAAGGCATCTCTTATTTCATGCTCTGTAAGCATAAACAAATATATTTCTAGTCATACTTGATTACCTGTTTAAAATCATGCAAATGTAAAGATATCAGTTACAAGAAAAATAAAGGTGAAGTATTGCAGTCATTAACAACAAACTACAAAGGCATTATTTGTGTCTCCATTTGAAAAGCTATGTTTATGCTTAGTCCAGATAACTTAGAGGATTTTCGCTGCTCATTTGTACTAGCTATATGTGGTAGTTTGTCAATGAAAAAGACAACTGAAACATTCAGTTCTGGTTTAATTCCATTAATAACAACTGATTTGTTGTTTTGGGCTTTTTTTTTCTATCCTTTAGCCTTACACCTGAAATAGTCAGCACACCTTCTTCCCCAGAGGAGGAGCATAAATCCATTCTTAATGCACCCGTTCTGATCGATGATTCCGTGCCAGCAACTAAAATTCAAATCAGATTAGCAGATGGAAGCCGATTAATACAGAGATTTAATCAAACGCACAGGTAAATTCATTCTGCATCAATGCAGGTAACCATTACTTTTTCAATAGGTTTGTGTTTTGTCATTAATAAGTATCAGCAAGACATGGAAAAGGGGGGAAATACAGCTTTGCTGAAATGCATAGCTCTGTGTCATTTTCATAACATGGATGTACTGATAAATTGACTGTCAAAGCTAAGTTACGTACTTGGAAACACAAAATATTTGGTAACTGCAAAGTCACAAACTGTTACAACCAATTATGTCCTGGGACTTTTCTTGGGTTTTTTTAAGGATACAGTACAAGCCATAACTGTTCTCAGGTCAACTGAAGTCTGTGTAGCCCCACTGTGTAGTCATACCAGCCCTGGGCCCTTCTTGGGAGAGCAGATGGATGACTCAGAAAACACTGGAAAGTGTTGAGCATAATTTCAATTGGATTATAGTCCATACTACAGGCAGAGAAATTCTGTGGCCCATAATCAAGAGCTCCAGCTTTCTACCTTGTTCTCAAGACTGCACTAAACATGACATGGGTTAGAAGTGTAGGCTGCAGCCCATATGCAGAAGGGTATAGAGGCATAACATGCTGATTTGCTGTTCTGGCTTGTGGGTGGACAGAATACTGAGATCGAACCTTTGTTTTGGTTTGGATAGTCACGTCCTAAAAACTGGCAGTGTGTGAACTTGATGGGTCTTTTAGATCTGTTAGTAGCGTTGCTGATTAGAGCTTGCCACCAGTTTTGTTGACATTGTTGGGGCAGTGCCACAAATGGTGTTGGCCAACCCCATTTATTTGCCTAAGAGGTTGTGTTAGTGCAAGGTTCTGCAAAGCTCTGCTTGTCGCTGCGAGGCTGAGGGAATTTCGGGCAGAGGGCAGATTTGGTTAGTAGTTCCACCCACACTTAAGTAGTGTTCATGCCAGCCCTGATGTGAAATCTGCACTGTGTTAGAACACAGCTGAAACTGAGCTCGAATCCTGACTTGGAGGTGGTCTTAGTGTGTACCCAATTCCTTGCTAATAACTGTTACATGGAGAGTTCACCTGTTTTCTTGGGTTTTCTCCTGGCTCAGAATAAGGACTGTGTATTTTGCTTCACCTGATGATACACAGACTACAATGAGGGAATTTTATCTGGGATGCCAGTAGAGAGAAAGGTACAGCAGTAATTTTTCATGGTTTAGCAGACTACAGTACAGACCCAGATCCTTTCCTCAGAGTGCTGGAGAACCGACTTGTACAAACTGTAGGGCTGACTGGGATCCTCTCTAGCAGTGTTGTGTGTTCTTCTGTCTGCATAAAAGGGTAGAAGTGGTAAACCTCCCAGCAACAGGGGTGTTGCCAGGAGCTTATTTTAACCATCATTAACTTTCCCTTGTCTGCGAATCTTTTGGTAATCTTTGCCATATGCATGATCAAAATCAGCTACTAAAGTACATCGATTATGTCATAGGCCTTGAAGAGTGATAGAAAGCTGAAGTCCCTGCTTGTTTGGCTGTAGTAAATCTGCCTACTTATTGGTAACAATAGATCTTCAAAGATTTATTCTCAGCTTTGTGTCTTAGGAGAGAAATCTCAAGTTTCAGGGTTTTATCTCTAAAATACTGGGTTTTTTTCATCCATCTCTTATTAAATTATTCCTGTTTTACTGTTGTTGTAATTGTTTTACTAACTATTGTTTGAAAGCTCAGTGCTAAGTGAAAGTAGAGGTAAACCTCTTGTCATTGAAGTGCATTAATAATTCCCCTCCACTTTCTCTTCTCTGACCATATACTTTGAGATTCCTCCTTCCATTAATAATTTCAACTTTCTGGAATATATTAATAAGTGAAATTTTTGACAGTGGTGTTGAAATTGCTTGACATCCTGTGTTAGGTATCAGTTTACAATATAATTCCATATTAAAGGTTTTGTTACTGTTATTTGAGAAAATAAGGAACATTCCTTTTAATTTTTCAGGGGGTTTTATGCAAGAATCAAAAAATTCTAGGCTACAATCATTAGTCATCTGGATCAAATGGAAATGTGAAATCAATAGGACTTAGTGGTTTAGTCTGTTAGGTGACTTTGTGTTCTCTGATCACCTTAATGTTCAGAAATGTATGTCAAAATGGAATCCCACAGTTTTCATGTCCATATCTTTTTCACAGGATTAAGCACATTCGAGATTTCATCATCCAGTCTCGTCCAGCTTTTGCAACAACCGATTTTGTTCTTGTGACTACCTTTCCAAATAAAGAGCTAACAGATGAAAGCCTCACACTACAAGAAGCAGATATACTTAACACTGTGATTCTTCAGCAACTAAAGTAATCTTACACTTGTACAATATGGGGAGCCTTCGGTATTGTCATACAGTATATTTCCAACAAATCAAAGAAAGGGAATATCAGTGTTTTTTTTATTCTGTCCTTTCCAGATCAGATTTTTGAATTTCATGTCTTCCAGCTCTAACATATCTAACTTTTTAATTTGTTTGTCAACATTATTCAGCCTTTAAGCTTCCCTTTGTTAGTATGTTTCAAACCACATGTACTAAATGTGAAATGAGATAGGACTTTATGACTCATTATTTTGAGGGGGGTGGGGGGATAAGCATTTTTCTGAAGGGGTCAGTATCTTTCATACAGTTGTTAAGATTTGCACTATGGAAATGTTCTATGCTGCATTGACAAACAGCCATTTGAAAACTTAGCCTGTAGGTTATGTTTACCTTACAAACTATATTAATATTAAGGTGTTCTGTTTAATAGGTTTACAGATAATAAATGCCCTAATATAATTTTTGTATATTCTATTTGTAGTGTTTCATGGTGCAGTATAATATTTACATTCTAGTTTTTATGTCATTTTCCTTGTGTTGTAGCCTGTATGAGTGAATCAGTTCAGGAGATGCAAACCTCAGCTATTGCAGACTATAATAGGTTGTTATTGTTTGTGTTCTAGTTGTTGTGATGAAAATAAATACGAATTTTTGTCTTCTTGAAGTTAGAGAAATGTCAGAGACCACAGTCATCTGGGGAAATCATGTGGTTTAGGTTTCATGAGAGGAGGCCTGTGGTCACTTCGAATCTGAATATGCAGTTGAACCCTGTGGAGCTACATGGTTCTTTACGCAAACAGTTACTTAAATAACCCCAAGCAAAAATACACCAAGGTGCACAAACGCAGAACTTGTCTACTTTTGTGCATGCATCTGACACCATAAACATGCCAATTGGTCGTGTATTTTGACCTGAGTTTCAGGTCTTTGTATTTGGAATTTTGGCCAAAGGCATTTTGTAGTATTTATTGGGGATTTGGTGGCGCAGCTTTCACTGTGCTTGTTTGGGAGCTGTGTAATTAAACTCCTTAATCTTTGAAATTATATATTTTTTCAAATAACTTGCCCCAACACTGCAGTAAGCCGGTAAGAATCTTATGTTGGGGACAAACTGGCTGCTGTGCTTTAGTAGTATGCAGTTTTATAGTATTTGTGGATTTATATCAGATGAGTGTATCGCACTCTGAAGGAGGGTGAATGGGCTGTATCTCTTGTACCCATATATGTGTTATAAATGCTGTTTTCACCGATTATTTTGTTCTGAAAATATCAATATTTATGTTAAGGTTATAATTGCTCAGTATATTTGATTTGATCTCATTTTTACCTCAAAGTAGATATTTGACTGAGTAAGCTTTAAACATGCAATTGTATTTGAAGTATTCTGTTTTGCAGTCTGAATATTTGCATGATTTTCATGATAATTCATTTCATGCGTTAAGTAATTAAAGTTTTAAGTTGAAAAGACCACAACCAAGACTTCTTGCTTTATTCCTAATTTATGTTGTGATGACATGGTGGTTGTGTTGTGTACCAGATATTTAAGCCTAAACACAAGGAATGGGCATGTACTATGCATGTATTTTATATATTAACAATTTTCTATATAAATGTGGGGCCAAAGTCAGTATTGTGGTATCAGTCTTGGGCAGTCTGTGGTTTGGGCATATTTCAGTTCAGATCATAGGTGAAGTTACATTATTAATAGTTTCTTTTCCTCTCTTACGCCAAAACCCACAGCTGCCTATTATCACAATCTCTGTTTCAAATAGCTGGGAGATTTTAGTGTTCAGTAGTAGCTGAGAGTAACAGGGAGTCCCAGTAGTAGGCATTATTTTGTTCAGCACTAAGAAAATACATCAATGCTGATGTTTCACTGCTTCTCAGGACTTGAAAACCTGTAGAATTTTCCATCTTATAATTTTATGTTATACCTTTTATTAACATTAATTCTCACTCCTGCAGCTAACATCTTTGAATTTTTGGCACAAGATGATTCCTTGAGCACAGACCTATGTTAAGACTGGCTACAAGGGAGAAAGAGCTTGGTTTGGTATAGAGGGTGATTATCTTTCCTTCACAGTAAGGCTTCTGAGTTTGGGAGTTCCTCTTAGCTTCCATGAAACACAGGTAATAATCCTATGCTTCCTCTTGTAGGCAGCTTATGAAAGGCTCAGGCTTTACCTCTGCTTGTCTTTCCTAGAATTCCTTTATCACACGAGCCAAATGATCAAAACCTGAATGTTTTATTTTAAGAAAAATCTCTGTAATCATTTATTCTGGATAAGTACAATCAGCTTTGTTAGTGTTAGGGTTTTTTGGGTTTTTTTCACCAGCAGCACATTAAAATATTTGTAATCATCCTGCTTTAATTAGACTACTGGGCACACTTGTACAATTAGCATATATTAACATTACCTCATGCTGTTCTCACTCTTTGGTGAAAATTTGTCCAATATTAAATGAAGCAAGGAGGTCATGTAAGTGCTCAGAGGTGCTATTTGCTAGCTCCCTGCTTAGTTGCTTACATTAAGTTACAGCTCCCATGGTCTTTAAATGGTGTGATTCTGTGCAGGGAGAACAGAGATGCACCTTCCCCTTGTTTGTGGTGTTTCTATAGGATGAATATAGATGGATTTGGTTCCTCAAGAGATTAAAAGTGGGACTGGTACTATTTAGCTGTTATCAATTATTTGAAAACAGATTTTGAAAACCCAAAGATTAGTGCAATGATAAACAACTGTAGGCAACAACTGTGATGAACACTTACTGGACTGTGGCAATTGGGTCACTTACATCCTTTGTACAGCCAAATGTCAGTTTACAAGTCTGGAACCAGCTGTGAAAGATGCTAAGCCTGGAAAGCCCTTGCCCTGGAATGGAGTTGGATAACAGTAGGAAAACAATACAGCAGAACTATTTATGCTCCTTTGAGGTTTACAGAACTGACTCTGTGACTGGGATGATTTTAATCCCTGTGTTTTTTACTGGTGAGTTTGATACCATTTATAGTGCTGGTCCTGCTGTTCAAGGACTTTAGAGATAGGACCAAGGCATCAATAGAAATGCAAAATTAAATGTCTTAAAAGAGCTCAAAACAGGTAAGTTATCAGGAACAAAACAGAGATGAAGTGATTTAATGTAGGCAGTTACTTCACAGGGGGAAAAATTATCATAGGACTTTGGTAGAGAACAGCACAACACAAATTGGAAGCTTGTACGAAGGTGGAAACTCAGTTCAGGTGTTTTCAAAGTGAAGTTGAACTAATGGAATGAACCAACCTTGAAAATCAACTTCTCTATCTCTTATGTTTTTGTTTAATTCCAATTGTCATGCTGGCTTTCTGTAAGATTTATGTAAATTAAATCTATTTAGGATTGCCACTGACACAAAGTAAAATAATATGGCTTAGTTTTTAAAAACAGTTTACTTTGCCTTTGCCCAGTCAGAATTAATAAATTCTGATGTATGTTTCCTGTTTAAAGGGCTGGAGATGTAACATACAACACTGTAATTCTTCAGTATTACAGACATTCCAAAAATAATCTGCTGAACATTGGAGAACTCAGATTGTAGAACTCGCCTTCTTGCAATTTTTCTGTTCACTGGGAGCTATGTGCTCTTGAGTTAAATATGTGATCTATAAGCTGTGTGTTTTAGCTTTTTTCCAGGAGTATGAGAAGGTAGATGTGTTATTCCACACTGCATTAAGATAAACCAAGAGAGACATTCTTAACTGTGGAATTTTAAAAAAATCCTTTAGGGAATTATTCTGGAGGAGCTACTCTTTTACATTTATAAACCTACTTCAGTATAAATTAATTTGGTGAGATCTCAGACTATGTAAATACTAATGAATTCCCATATGGGAATAAGCATGAGTCATTTTTCCTACATGATGTTTTTAGCTGAAAGTTGAATAGAAGGAATTACTTATGCAGGGCTGTGAAGTTGGTATTTATTTATGGAAGTCTTAGATGCTAATATAAAAATTTTGGTTGTCTATTGTAGCAAATAAAAACCCCACAACAGAATTCATAGTGTTTACTACCTCTAACCTTAACACTACCAAAAAATTGCACTTTGGGGGCAAAATAAATTTTCTGATTTCCAAATTAAATTTTAATGAACTTTTTTTATGGCAATAGCTGTTTACAGTGTTTCCGACCAATGAAAACCTCAGAACTTTAGTGCCTGCATTGTGCAAACCGTGGACAGATGTTCCATTTCAGTGAATAGAGTTCATTTCTGTTTATCCTGCAACTCTTCCTAATCAAGTTATATTAAATCATCATTAATCAGATGTTCACAGCGTAAATGTCCTTATGCTCTTTCATGACAATTTAGTTAATCCATTTTAAATTAGATTTTGCAAACAAAAATCTCACCCTGAATGTGAAAATATAAGTGTTGTGTTTTTTAGAAAGCTTGCAGTTTATAGAGTAGAACATAGATAAGGTATTTATTTCTATTTGCACTTGAATTCTTCACTCAGCAAGCAGGTCCTTGTTGTAAGAAATTGAGAAATTTTCTGCAGAGAAGACTTTGGCTCCAAATACAGAATAGTGCTGCCACTTTTTGTCCGTGAATGAGTACCTCGATATGTGTGAATACCAATTTCCATTATTTTATTCATAATCTTTTAAATATTGGTTCACTGGTTTTGCTATGTTATGTGTATTTTTTCAGCTCTTTTGACTATAAAATTATATTTCTGCATATTTTTATTAAAACGGTGCTACTTCCCGTAGCAGTCCCCGGATCCTGTAGTCTACAAGGAATCAGTGAAAGCAGAGTAGGGACCATAAATGGATATAACCAAATGGTTGTTAAAATGTTTTTCACTAAACTACTTGCTTGTGCTCTTATAGTCTAACCATTTGTTTCATTTTCTAAGGAGCATTCCTGAACATTTTATTTCCTGGAAGCAGACACAGACCTTAGACCCAGTTGGAGCTGCTTGGCAACCTTGGTCACCACACAAAAAATTGTAAGCCAGGATTTGGTCTGTGTGAAAGGACTGAATGTTTCCTTGAGAGATATGAGACAATTAGACCTTAAAAGGCTCTCTGCTGAGGATTCAGGTTCACTTTTTTCCCATCTGTCTTAAATCCCAACA